GCTTTCACTGAACGCCACAGATCCTCACGCCGCTCCTCAACGCGAGGGAGAAGAAGAATGGGGGGGGTGTAGTTGAGGATACAGGGAGTGAGCTCACACGGTTAAGGGATAAGGCAAGGGGCAGCGAGGTCTTTTTGCGTGCACCTGCCACGCTGGTAAACTGACTGGGCGTGCCACGCAGCCAAAATGTCTATAAACTGGAAGTTTTGGTCAGTTTGGGGGCAAAAAATTTAGGACGAAAGGTGGCAACCGGCAAAAAGTTAAATATCGCAGCTGAGAATCAGGAGTCAGTCCATAGGAGACTGACTGACGGGAAAAGGCGCCGTTCTGATATCTTGGAAACAATGTGGTCAGGCACGTCGATCGGGCGTGACTGTGAGCGCCACCGATCGAACAGGAGGAATACATGCATGTCGACATGTTCACCAATAATTGGTACTCGAGTGACACCTTTTCTGATCTCAAAAATGGAAAAAGGGAGGCATTTCCGATCAGGTCGGCTGGTTTGCAGGTTAGGGATGATCCCCTCTCGGCTGGCTGCAAGACGAAGCTCGTCACAAATATACTCTGACTTGTGTGACATAAACAAGTATCACTTATACAGAGTATAGCCCCTGCACATAAACTTGTCCACAAATAGACCACCATTTATTCGTCCTATGCATGTCGGCGTGCACGCAGGAGCCTCCCGGACAGCGTTCTCAGGCGTCCGGAGGCTGTGATGGCTGCCTGACCGGTGATGTCCAGACCAGTAGAGCAACCAAACACCAAATACGTATACTCTACGTGAGGCAACGCTGTATTATTGCGCTCTTGTTAGTTTATTACTCGGCAGTGCATAGCACGTAAATATCGTCGGTACTGGTGCTAATGCGTACGCGTACATTGTCTGTCACACTTCGTCTTCTGGACAACCCTACTTGAAATCGTAATGAGGTTGGTTCTGTCTGAAATGTGAGGATTTTGGTGAATACTGCACTCCTTTAATTTGGATTCTTTTTCTTCCTTCAGAGTTTCTAAATTAAACAAACGTGTCGATCTGACCGATTAAAGCACTGTAAAACTAAAGGCTGCAGTGCATCATAGAAACCAAACCATGAGATCAACACCTAATAATATATATACGGCGCACGTGTCCCATTTCTTACTGGCTAAGTCTCCAACGGCGGCATGCGCCAAGCAATGCAAGGAAGGAGAACAAAGCAAAGGTAGCTTCACAAAAAATATACGGACGCAAAGGCCAATTCAATGAGTCAAAGATACTGGTTATTAGTATTAATAATTGCGCCTAACTTTACTACTAGTAGAAAGATAACGGCTGGGGGGAGACATGATGATATATTCCTCATGCCAACTTGTGATGCCGCTGTCACGTTGATTTGCCAAGCCTGCCTGCCGGTACAGCTAGCTGCTTTCGTGCCAAGGCTCACTTCAAGTTCATGTTGAGTGGTGGTATGGTAGCACACCATGCATGCCGCACACGCGCTCCTGTCAGTGGAGAAAGCTGCAGGGTTCACTTCAACTAACACTCCCCTTCATTTGCATCTTTATTTGGGACCCTTTTTTATCAATAATGGAAAAACAATAATTAATTATGGTCTGATTCTTCACACAACCTAATAATAATCAATTCATAGTGCATTGTTTCAGCATTAGATCTTAAAAGTCAAGAAACTATCAAACAACACGCGCACCTACACACGATGTTTGGAGAAAAATTCAACCAGCACACCTATATTTTTCATAGTGCATATTGAGTTCAGGTTTTTTTTTTCAGTTTCGTTTTTCTTTTATATTTAAGGCCCCTAGTAAATTTTCTTTTGAGTTGGTATATCATGCCAATTAATCCCCGTAACAGAGCCACCTAGTAATGTCTTGATTTGAATTTGAGGCCCCCTAGCTAGTAAATTTTATATTTTATATTTTTGTTTCGGAACATGTACATATGATGCTTGTCGATCTGAAAAAGATGCATGTAGTGCTACAGGCTCATTGATTCGAAGTTTCATTGGTCTATTTTAAATGTTTCTATTTTCTTTTCTTTTTTCATGCAACAACATCGACATCAATTATCAGAAGGATATATTCATTTTGTTTGATCCAAAGGATCAATTCTTGACATGATTATTTCGTTTGGAACACGAATTGGTACTAGACGATTTATGCAGACAGCATTTAGCTTTTCCATAAGAATAAAGACAATCATGTAACCCAACTAATCCATCTGAAACAGATATCGTATTTAATTTCACATCATATACATCTTACCTATCTTTGCCTAGTAGTTTCATATAATTGATATACCAAGGCATATACCTTCAATAATTAGATAATTTATTATTTCTACAGCAGAATGTTATGAGGTGGTGTCTATTAAAAAAGAGTGCATTATTTTCTCTCCAAAGAAGTGGAAACAAAATTGAATAAAAGAGGACTGGACGGCTGGGGTTTAAAGAGAAGGTTAGGCCAGGACCTTCAAAGAGAAGAAATACCATATGCCACACATGATCGAGTAGCTAGCCTTTTGTTCACATTACCCACAAAATGAGGTTTCCATCAAAGTTTACTTTTCAACATAAGGTAAAAGAGTAGGCTTCACTACTTCCAAAAGGTAAATCATATATGTTCCAACTTTTTTTTTGAGAATTACATATATGTTCCAACTTTCGGTCCATTACAGTATTAGCACACTCTTTTTTGCGAGATATAAAAGCGCGAGACATACATTTGACAACATAGCATCATATTGGCATTCCACGCCCATGATAGACGTTCCACATGAATAATAATAGAACATTGCTACATTTCCCATATGAATTTGTCATGTCAAGAATTGCCCCCATGTTTAAGGGTTCGCCGTATATATGAATCAAAGAACAGCCGTATTCATATGTTTTAGAAGCGCAAATACAATTGCCCCCAAGTTCATGCACAACATTAGTATTGCCTGATATTTATATAACATTCTATGTAATAAACAACAAAAACTAGAAAGTGGGCTTAGCTATGGGGTGAGAGGTTTGGTCATGCATCCATATATCACAACCACTCATGTTCTTATTTTCATAAACAACAAAAACCAACAACAAAAATGAAATTCTGTATTTAGCATAAGACAACACTCCATCAACCGGATATTTATATGTAGATCTCATCTTCCTAGCTAGATTTCTCTCTCTCTCTCTCTCTAAAAAAACAACAAAAAAAAAACCAACTCAAATGAAATTTTGTAGGATGTCTCATTCTTCGTTGTTTTGAGGGACGCATCATCAGACATGTAGACATGTACAACGTGTTTGGTTTAGAAGATCGTTCCGTCCGGAATGATCCGATCCTAAGACCGGACCTGAGATGTTTGTTTGGTTTTCGTCGTCAGTCTGTGTCGTCCGTCACCAGACGATTCTATTTAGTAACTTCCGCAAGTCAATCTCAGGAATCAAATCATTCCATGAAAAAACGGGGAACTAGCGCATGCGGATCGGAGTGAACCCATGCCAGACGCACAAGTAACGAAGGAAGGGTGAGAGTTTGTAATAAGAAATTATACTAAAGGACGCCTCGTCCTACAGTCACGGCATAATCGCCGGAATTATCTATGACCCGCAGAGTGGGGGCCCACACGCAGGTACCCAATGAGGGGATGTCGGCAGGAAGCGTGGCAGTTGGCGGCCCCTGATTGGAGTCCTTCTTGCCCACCTGTCCCTTGCTGGGACTCCACTACTACCTTCCTTTCCCGCTGCCGACTTGCTTACACCTGAAGCACAGAGCTGAGACAGCCCAGCCCCAGCAGTTGTTGAGCAACCGGCATGGCATCATTCACACCAGCCCACGGCAAATGCATGAGCAGCAGAGCAGGGTTTTCTGTTACGCTGGTTCATCGCCTCCAGAAAACCGGCCGGAGCAAGTTGAGGAGGGGCAATGCAATCATGAGGGAAAATTTGTCAGTCTTCAGTTACCTAAAAAACAGCAACTTGTAATAAGCAACTATACAAAATTATATAGAAAATGTTATGAAAATAGAAACCCATCTGCGGAGAGAAGACCACGGACATTTGTCTTGAGGTGTAATCAACCATACGAAATTTGTAAAGAAAAATGGTGGACAGAAGATGGTTGTGTGGAGGACCGCCTGAAGAAGCCAGCGGTACGGTACCCAACAACACAAGGGACGCAAGGACATGTCCGTTTCCGCCGTGGTGCCCTCCCCTGTTCCCCTTGCTTAGCACAGGGGAAAGATAAATAAGGCCTTGTTTAGATTCCAAGTTTTTTCACTCTCTCTCCGTCACATCAAATCTTTAGACACATGTATGGAGTATTAAATGTAGATAAAAAAATAACTAATTATACAGTTTGATGGTAAATTACGAGACGAATCTTTTGAGCCTAGTTAGGTCATGATTGGACAATAATTGTCAAATACAAATAAAATGCTACAGTGTCAAATACTAATTTCTAACCGCTATCTAAACAAGGCCTAAAACTGCCTTGCCATTGTGCCACCCCAAAGCTGGCTTTTTCCGCGGAGTCGGTTTGAGCTGAATTCGGCAGACGGACCGCGGACGGACAGGTAGAAAGCATGCGGATGCGGCAGTGCATCTGCTGCATGCAGGCGCCGCGGCAAGGCATCTTGGGAAACTTCTGGCGGGCGTCACCGCGCAAAGCGAGACACGGTTCCGCGCCTAGGCTATAGGCTAGCTGTACACACACACATACAAACCGTACCCGGCAAGGAAGCAGCTCATCAGGTCAGTGAGCTGGTGCCTGAATTGCTTGAGCTTGCTGCTGGAGGCGAGGCCTATATATACCGCAACCTTCTTCTAGCTACCATTCAACATCAAAGCTCAAAGAAAAGCTGTTGTGTGGCGCGCGCTGTGACTGTGAGTAGTGACTAGTGAGTGAGTGGTGACCATTTCAAGAACAGAACAGCAGAAGCTTGGTTCATCATCATATCGGTTTGTTTCTTCGGTCGTCCCTTCGTGCTTGGAACTAACTAAACCACCATGGGAGGCACGCTGGAGTACTTGTCGGATCTGCTGGGCGGCGGCGGCGGCCGGCGCCGGTACAAGAAGAGGAAGCAGTTCCAGACGGTGGAGCTCAGGGTGCGCATGGACTGCGACGGCTGCGAGATGAAAGTCAGGAACGCCCTCTCCAGCATGAAAGGTACATACAGTGCCTATTTCAATTTCATCAGATGTTACGTACTCTCAAGAAATACAACCTTCTGTTGTACTCAAAGCATATCAACTTGATGACGCTTCCTGATGCGTGATTTCTTCGATTCATCAGGGGTGCACTCCGTGGAGATCAACCGGAAGCAGTACAAGGTGACGGTGCAGGGGTACGTGGAGCCCCACAAGGTGGTGAAGCGGGTGCAGGCCACGGGGAAGAAGGCCGAGATCTGGCCCTACGTGCCCTACAGCCTCGTCGCGCACCCGTACGCCGCGCCGGCCTACGACAAGAAGGCGCCACCGGGGTACGTGCGCAGGGTCGACGCCGTCATGCCCGTCTCCAGCTACGGCGGACCCACGGCGGCAGGCCCGCAGGAGGAGCGGCTCGTCACGATGTTCAGCGACGACAACCCCAACGCATGCTCCATCATGTAAATTACTACAGTCAAATAGCTAGCTACAGATCGACCGTGTGCAGTGGGTGCACGCAGCTCTCTTCGATCACACAAAATCGTGGATGTGAAGAAAATATAATAGATATATCTGTATATAGGATCGTCTCGGTTGGATGTTCATGTCCATGACACATGTGTACGTAGCTATATGTTTGTATGCTTTGTATATTGATACAACCAAAAGCGAGCACAGAGAGATTTTTTCCAAGGTTCGTCTCCTTCTTCTTGCATGTGCTGCCGAATCTTAGCCTACCGCCTTTAGATTGTTATAGATTTCATATGTAGAGTTGTGTGTTGCATGTATGCATAATGCACTACCGGAAACCGGCACTTTGCCAAGTGCCGGAGGCTTTGCCAAGTGTATTTTATTGGGCACTCGACAAAGACGGTCTTTGCCGAGTGCGAAATAAAATACACTCGGCAAAAAAAAAACACTCGACAAAGATGGCTTTGCCGAGTATTTTTTTTTCGGCACTCGGCAAAGATGTATTTTGCCGAGTGACATTTTTCGGCAGTTTTGGCACTCGGCAAAGAGGCATTTTGTCATGTGCATTTTTTTTTTGCCCTCGGCAAATCATTTTTTTAAAGCAATTTTTGAGGCCCTAAATGAATTCAAATGGAAAACTTTTCAACTACAAAGTTGTATAACTTCTCAAGATCTACGAAGTTTATTTTGGTCATTTCTTCATTTGACAAAGCAACAATAATGTTGTTCATAAAATCTACATCTCTCTCATATCTCTCATATTAGTTTCATGAAAGTAGAAGAGAGATATATAAGATTTGTGAACAATGTTACTACCACTATGTCGGATGAACAAATGATCAAAATAAACTTTGTAGATCTTGAGAAGTTATGAAATTTTGTAGTTGGCAACATTTTAATTTGAAATCATCTTGTCATGCAAAAACGGCATTTGAATTTGAAAATTTTAAAATTTGAATTTTTCAAAAGACCTCGGATGGAAAAACTTCCGAAATGAAAATTGTAGATCTCCAAAAGTTATGAAACTATGTAGCTGACAACTTTTTGATTTGAAATCATCTTATCATGCAAAACTACGTTTGAATCTCTCAAATTTAAAATTCGAATTTTTCAAACGATCTCGGATGGAAAAACTTCCTAAATGAAAATTGTATATCTCGAAAAGTTATGAAACTTTGTAGTTGACCACTTTTTGATTTGAATTCGTTTAGGGCCTCAAACAAGCAATTTACTCTCGGTTTATTATAATATACGAGGATAGATAACGGAATCTAGATACAAGTGACAGTGTAGTGAAGTGGTAGAGCAGCAGACATGCGAGGGAGAGGTCGTGAGTTCGAATCCCACTGGCCATGTTAGCCGCGAATTTTGCGCAAAAAATGCAGCGACTTCGATGGAGACGGGCAGGCGCTGGCCGGTGGCAGCCTCCCCCGAAAAAAAATTTGCTATTATTTTTGGGTTTTTTCGTATTTTTATTTTGCCGAGTGTAAATATTTGCCGAGTACTTTTCCGGCACTCGGCAAAGGCTTTGCCGAGTGCCTGACAAAAAACACTCGGCAAAGGCTTCTTTGCCGATTAATTTTTTGCCGAGTGCGGCACTCGGCAAAGCCTTTGCCGAGTGTGTTTCGGGCTTTGCCGAGTGCCGCAGGCACTCGGCAAAGAGAGGGTGTCCGGTAGTGATGCATCGGTTGGTGTGTGTATTACATATGTGTGTGTATTCTATTAACCTATGATGTGTCTGTACTTGATAGTGCAGTTGGATTGCTCTGTTTGATTAATTTAACATGCTTTTGCACCATTCAATATATAATTAAGGGAGAGATATAATAGAGTTGGTCGTCTAAAGATGACAATTAATACAGAGAAAACAAGTCTTTTGCGTGAGTTGTTCGAATGGATAAGTGGTAAATAATTGGTCACCTACCGCTTAGCCATTATTCAGACTAAACGGTTATTTAAATGCAATAAACGGTCGGTTAAATGAAAGTGCCATACCATATGCAGCATTTATTTAATGAAGACAAATGATCGTTTATAGGTGTATAGTGGTACAAATTAACCACTAATATCCACTATATATAGGTGATACTTAGCTCAACAAAATGTTTGTTTATGAGTATATATATGCGTATGCACATAGGCACGTCTTAGCCTTAGGCACTTCAACTAGATAGTTAGGATTATTTTGGTAGCCCTACTACCGAAAATAATTTTTAGAAATACCTCCATTTTTAGTAGAGGTAAGTTTATCAAAAACCGCCTTTAAAAATGGTTTCTGAGATGGATCAACCATCTCTAGAAATCGATCTTTAGAGGTCGCTGGAAAGCCCAAACGTCTCTACAAATGCCCTCTATTTTTAGTGGCGGCTGGCAAACCGAACCGCCTTCTAGAGTCGGTTAGCAATTTGGTTGCCTCAAAAATAGGTGCACCACAGTAAATTTCATAACTTTTCAAAATTTATACAAAAATTGTAGTACTCAAAGAAATCTACAACTTTATAGTTCACGACATTTTCATTTGAAATAATTTAAGGCCCTAAATTTTTTTTTAAAATTTTCATAATTTCAAATTCAAGTTTTAAAGTTTTTCAAATGACCTCAAATGAAAAAATGGCTTAAACCAAAGTTGACTACTTGAGAAATCTTGTAGTTGACTACTTTTTATTTGAAATCATTTTTCAAATGTCTTCCTCTATGTTACTCTTGTCAATTTTAGCTAAAATGACAGCTAAGAGAGGTTTGAAATGTCTTTTTTTTGCCCATGCTATCTCATCCTCCTTTTCTCTTTTCCTAGACTTCTCTCTTCTCTCTTCTCCTCTTCTGGTACTAATCAGAAATTGGAAGAAAGACTCAAATCTGCCTACATCTACAGATAGGGTGGGAGGGGTGGGCCTCGCCGCATCATTTCTGTGTTGGAAGAGGGTCAGCTACGGCCGATAGTTCTTTACACCACTGACCTGGATGAATGATGGCGTTGTTGGTGGATAGCAACGCCGCCCATGTGGAACAACCAGTTGGGCAACGCCTTAGTTCACCACCAAGATGTCAATGTCCACTGGGGAGATGTTGGTCATGGTGAACAGGTCATCAATGGCCGAGAATATGACGAGCTTGGTCTAGGCACAGGAGGCTCTAGGTCAAGTGATGGTGGGATGTAATGCTAGGCATATGACTGGTTGTGCTCTAGGAACATCGTGAATGGCACGCTGTCATTGTGGTTAGTGCAGAAACACACATAGTTTACTAGCACCGTGTGCGGCCAGAGCATCAAGTACAACACCATGGCAGTAGCTGATAGGAACTTGTGCCTACATCTCTCCTCTCCTTTCTTCTCTCCCATTGGCTTCTCTCTTCTCTCTTCTCTCTTCTCCGTAGGTCGAGGTAACTGCCTTTTGCGCTGCCATGGTTCGCCACCTTGATTCGGAGCTGCAATATGTCTTCCGCCGCCTTTCGCCATTAGAGTTGTGGCCCATTGACTCAAACCGTCGTCCCCGTCAAGTCGCCTTCCCCTCCTTGGAACATCGTCACTGGCACCAATAACTAGACCTCCATTGAGGGGTGTGAACGGGGTGATGAGGGCAGGGCAATGTGTTAATATAGTGTGGATGGGACGGTTCGGCATGGTATGGTGCCATGGGCGAGACATGCTAGTATGGTGGCGTGGGTAAGGCAGCCTGGTACGATGACACGGGTGGGTGGACGAGTGGCGCTAACAGGATAGGCCGATGTGGTGGCGCATGGTGAGTGGTGGAAGATTAGGGGCAGAAAAATGGGCGGCTCTAGAAGAAAATAATAAGAAGAAATACATGTAGAGGCTGATGGTTTAGGCACACGGCTGGCAGGTAGGTTCCACATGACCATTATTGCTTATGACACCAGAATGGTTCTTCGCATAGACAGAGGAATGCAAGGGAAAAATGGTAATTTTTTAGAAGAATTGACATCCTAATTGTAATTTTGGTAATGAAGGTGATGGCAGGAACAAAGACAGCCAAAAAATAAAACGATGATGCGAAGGTCACGATAACTTTTTCGGTGGTCCATATGAAATTTGGATCTTTTATAATGGTTTGTAGGGAATTGGCTCTATATTTTTAACGAATATAGGTGTTTATTAGTAAACTAATAAAGCATGAATGAAGTGTAGGTTATTTAGGCCTTCGAAAAAACAACAACAGAAGTAGTTATTCTTTTGGAAGAAAATGGCCTCTAAAGATTGTGTTCCCCACTGAGCTCCAAGTTTGAGTTTCTTCCTTATTCTCCAAAGTTTATATCCTGATATATGCTTCAATCAGCCCTAGCTAGGCGCCTCGGTTGTAATGAAGATGTACTCTTAGTCTCCTTTGAAAACAGGAATTTTAAAAAACTAGTGCAAAATTTAAATAAAAATTAGTTTATTTTTATAGGAAAACTTAAAAAGAGGAAAATTTTCCGCTTTCCGAAAGAGACCTTATTATCTATGTCAAATAATAGGGCCCATAATGAAAAACCCGTTGTTTTGCATTGGCGAACACATCATTCTATCTATGTCTTGTGTTTTCACTCTTATATTTATGCTATTGCATCCCTCAAAAAAATGCTATTGCATTCTAGTTACTTTTTCCTTTCCATCTTCATTACTATATATACTATATATATAAATTCGTGCATCCCCAACGATAATTATTTTTTAAAAGTTAATCGTGAAAACAAGTGTTCAGTTGAACCTAGAACGCTTCTGTTGAAAGTGTAGAAACTTCCTCAAAATATTAATTTCCATATACTGCATGCTTTGTGCGCAAAATGCTTGTGCATCAACGACGCAGGAATATTGAGCCGAAGCTTTTGCTTATAATTCCATGGGTCCTCCGTCCCCTTCTTTCCGGGGAAGAATTTTGTTGTCGACACTAGCCATCTATTCACAAAGCAAAAGGTCACTTCAGAAACTTCCACGCATGGAATATTTAAAGCAAAATGCAAGCTTACTCGATTAGAAGTCAAGTAGAATGACACCT